TTCTTCCCGCCTTGCATTGTTGCAGAGCCGCAATTGCCTCCTATTTCATCGGGTTGGAAAACATCTCATTTAAATTGAATACAACTGCAGTTTAAATTCGGGATTCTAATGGCAGAGTGAATTAGTGGAACGTGTATTATTTATTTATTTTTTCTTTCCTTTTTAAAGTAGCATGCTGGCTCTTTTTCTTAGTTTTAAAAGCTTGTCGGAATTTGGTGGAGACTAAGGGCTATAAATAGACAAGTCATGGTAAAAGTGATTAACATCTTTGAATCAACAAATCTCACAAAACTTCCATTCAAACGCAGTTTTCATTTTTATTACCATCACTACTTAACATTTTGCTGATGCCAAGAGAGGGTTACAGAGCACAGACGAAACGTGGTCTCGGCCAAAGTATTGGACGAGTGAGGGCAATCTGTGGACACAAGTTCTGGAGGTGGGGACTTAATTTCTCAACCCTGGGAAGGTAGATTCACCCTGGCTTTTCTCCAAAGCTTAATTTCATCATTATTATAGGTGCAAATATTCAGATTCACACCAAGATCGCAGGCAAATGGGATAGCTGGCCCAAGGTGAACAGTTTTGGGGGATTGTGGGTTTTTATTTTTATTTAAAAATATTTTACTTGGATTGCATTTTAAATAGGATTAAACCATTTGACCAGTAAATGTGGTCAGCTCTCAGAAAGGAGGAGGCTGAATTAATCATTTGTTAGAATGCCAAGCCCAAAATGAGAATTCCAGTCTTGTAAAATGAAAGGCATCTCATATTTAAAAAGAAATACATAGTGCTAGAAGGGAATTTATAAGGTCCTCATCTGTTTTTTAGCTTTCTAAGTTTAATTTCACATTTATAGAGAAAAAAAGATAGAGCGCACTCTTTCCGAATGGGGCCCTTTACGGTAAAGAGAGTGTTTTTTTGAAACCTGGCTATAACGGTATCTACCTAGATGGATTGTCTCCTAAGCTTTAAGGTGTGTTGTGGATTTGATTTTTTTTTAACACAAACCCCCCTCGTGTAAAACAACTGTTCATAACTGGGATTAATGGTTTGCAATTTTCAGTTACTTAGACTTGGGGTCTCCAAGAGATGGCTTTTTGCAGAGTAGAATATGGCTCTCTGTGGGATTACAGAAGTTTTCTTCTCTTCCTACTTCCTTTTCTGTCATCACCCACCTACCCCCGTCGATGCTGCACTGATGTTCTCCTCAATTATGTAAAACACTTTCCCTTCATTGGAACAGATATTTTTTCTCATAACCTGTCATTGCATTAAAGTACTTTGGGGACTGTGAATTGCTGTGTAAAATTGGTGAGATTACCCACTGCTTTGTTCTAGTGTAGTGGTTTCCTCCAGACCTAAAGAGCAGAAAATTCTTACACGAGGAGGCTGCTTGCGGACGACCTGGCAGCGTTTTCTCCTCTCGGTGCATCCACGTTGTGCTGCAGTGACTCAGGACTGGCTCTGTGGGATGGCAAGGAGCCAGGGCAGGAGCGAGCCGCGCTCGGAGCCACCCTCTCTTTGTGCTTAGTGCCCCTCCTGTCTAGTTTTCATCTTTCCCACTTGCTTCTTGTCTCTCTTTCTAAAGAAATGATGTCTATGATTTTAAAAACACACAAAATACATGGAAGGCTCCTATGAAGCAACTTCTTGTTTCTCTTATCAGAAGATCTTCAGTGAAGTCTAGAGACTGACACTCCGCATCTCTTCTCTCCAACCCCGAAAGCCAATCCAATAACCTGTGCAGCTCCGACCTCCATCCTTCCTTCAGAAGATGAAATTAGGCCATTTGTATTTTCAGTGACTCAGAACACAGTGTGGGGATGGGGAACAGACACATCCCAGGATCCTCAAAGGTGACGAGGGCAAGCCTTTGAGGACTGGATCAGAATCATCTGGGTTTCTTTTTTTTTTTTTTTTTTTTAATGCAAGTGTGCGCATTCCCCAAGACCATCTAGGAATATGCGCCCTTCCCACCTTGAGAGTCCTTGCCAATGGTGGACGCCATGACTAGCGGGACCCTTTCCTAGCCCTCAGTTGAGCTGGAGCAAAAGAAAGAAAAAACAAATGACAGTAAGTGATCTCAGTGGTGTGCAGGCATCTCCACACCAAGAGGACTTTCTGCCTTTGCCATTTTTCATGCCGCATTTCCCATTTAGACATTATTTATATTGGTGCTCTTCATTTTTGTATAAGCTTGAATTTCACAAGCCATACTCTTGTTCTTCTCTCAAATGATTTATATTCTTCTCTCTTAATATGCAAAGCATAACTGCTTTATAGTAACGACTTCAATCTGTTGCAATAGGTGAATCAGATGTATTTGTTCATTTCTTTGCACCTCTGAAGAGACTTGTATGGCTTTGGTTTAGGATGAAAGTATCCAAGACACAACTATTGCCAACTCTTATGGCCAATTTGTGTTAGGTCCTTGTTTTGCAATATCTCAATGTAAGTACATATAAAAACACGGGAGAGATTGCAATATATCTCCTTTGATTAACCTAGAATCCTATTGAAAGTGGAATGTCTATTGTAAGCACTTAAACATTTAAAGATAATGTTATTAAACTGGTTTCTTTTTTATTTTGTTATAAAAAAAATTACGCATCCTTCTGTCAGTGTCATATCATTTAGGTAACTATTGTCATAACTTGTATTTATTTTTTTTAGTTATTTTGTTTTTTTTTAAATAAAAAATCTTTCTGTAAGATCAAACTTGACTCTTTGAGATAGCAAATGGTATGAGCAAGTCTATACCATATATTTTGAGCAATTGAACTTTTTTATTGTTTATAACCTCTCTGATCATGATTGTGTTGATTTTCAAGGGAAGTTTTTAGTCTCATCAGTATTTTGATTACCCTATCTATTGGTGAAAAATAATTTTCAGAAGTATTTAAAATCAGTACAAAGAAAAAAGAGTTGGCATAAAACTAGTCTGCTCCTGAATGTGCTTTTAGGCTAATACTACTAAGAAGAAAAATAAATCCAGCTTATCTTTCACTGAATTAATAAAAAATAGATATGTTTTAAATAAGGAAGGGTGAAATAATGTTCCTCATTATTATTATTTGTTGTCAGTCTTTTTAAAAAATGGGCTAAGTTGGAACTAGGGAACAGAAGACCTGGGTCCTCCTCCCAGGTCTCCCGTCTCCCTCCCTGGCGCTCTCAGCCCTGACTGGGCAAATGTCAGCAGCCAAGCCTCTGGTCATTCAGCCCGTATTCACTGAGTAGGCATTTTGCTGGTGGTTGTGGAGGATGAAAAGCTAACAAGGATCTCTAAGACAAAGCCCTCTGTTTAAAAAACTTCCATAGCTCCTCTTCCCCTACAAGACAAAGTCTTAGCAAGGTACAGAAGGCTCTTTATAATCTGGCCCCAGACTACCCTTCATCTTTATTTCTCATCAGTACTCTTGATTCTAAGACTCTCTAGAAGACTCCAACTGATCTGAGTGAGTTGCAGGTCCACGAACATACCTCGCACGTTCTTGCTTCTTTGCCTTTACCCACGTGAGTCTCTTGGTCTGGAGGGCCCTCCCTGCATCCCAAATGTCTTCTCATGTTTCCAGCCTCAACTAAAATGTTGCTTGTTACCTCCACTGCAAAGCCTTCCCCAAAGGCTAGGCAGGGTGAGGTATAGTCATGACATTTCTGTGTTCATTTCTAATACAATCCTGCCATGTTGCTTTACCGTTATGTGCCCACACGTCTTTCTTCTTTAGACTGTGCACACTTGGAAGACATGAAGGCAGGGACCTCCTTTTCCCTTCAATAGCCCTTGCCTAGCTAGTCAGTCATTCTGTTGGCCAGATCCTCTTGACCAAGCACTGTGATGCTGTGGGCTGTGGCAGGTGGTGATACAAGTGTTCAACAGATGCTTGTGAAGGAACAAAGAAATGAATGAACACCAGAATTACTGACATAGGGAGAGAGCCAGGCCTGCATAACCAGAAGACAAGACCTAAGATACATACAATAAGAGCAGTATAAAGTACAGTGGGAAATCAGAGAAGGGCGAAATCAGTTTTAGATGGGATGAGCATGGAAATGGTAGTATTTTGAGCCAGGCTGAAGGTTCTGATCAGAGGGATAGAGGGTGTACAAGGTGAGAGGTGGGAGAACATGGCTCAGGGGAAGTGCAGAGGAGGGAAAGTAGAAATCAGTCCATCTCCAGGCTTATGCTTGGAATGAATGCCCCGTGGGTCTGTGACCATCCCCCACGCAGGCCACAAGCACAGGTCTGGGGCCTGCCTGCCCAGTTTCCACCCTCAGGGCCTGGCTTGCAGTTATAAGTTGCCCAGGTATCCCAGTTGCCCTCTCACAATATGGAAACAGGTTGGTCGCTCAGAAAGGGGACATGCTGTGTGGATGGAGAGGAGACTACCAAAATACAACAAAAGCTGCCTCGGCTGGGGAGGGGGATTGGCTGCAGGCTGCCGTAATCTGCTCCTCAGCCAGGTGGCACAGCCCTGAGGCCACCCCCAGGAAGGGAGCTGGAGAAGCTTCCTGTGGATTGTTGGCCAGGCAGTTCTTGCCTTTAAAGCCTATATTCAGGGACAGATAGAGCCTCTGCTGTTAAGACATTCACCATCTAGGAGGATTAGAACAAAAGCATTTGTAATCAATGGAAATAATACACAGATAAATAAAACTATTAAAATAGTGCTACCCTGGTCTTTGAAAAATGGGTTTTATTTTGATAAGAAGAGATGATGGAAGGTGGGAGAGTATTCTGGAAAAGCATAGCAGAGACAGAGAGAAGGAAGGTAGGGGCCCATCACCTCACCTCACCTCTGCCCCTGGCCATGCCTCTCCCTCCTGGTACAGTTCAGTGGGGGCAATGAGGAGTCAGGGCCCCCATCAGCACCTCTTGATCAGGGTACAGAAACACAGTGTTCATGTGACTATAAACCTATCAGCATTTATAGATACTTGGTCTGATGAAAATACAATCACTTAAGTTTTTTTTTCCCCCTCTTTCTTTTTTATTACAGAATCATACGATGACCCAACACAGCAGTTAGTGCAAGAATGGTCTCTCAAGGAGAATTACTTTTGTGGCACAAAAAGGGAACATGTTTTACTCTTTGCACGAAACTTTCATTGTTAATGTATATTATTCAGAAACATTGTATTGTACCATAAAACTTGTATTATCAAAACTGTTGGATGTTCATGTGTTTGAACTTTCGAGCACCGGAGATGCTCATGTGTTTGAACTTTCGAGCACCGGATAGACTCCTTGTATATAAAGTGTTGCACATGTATTATGTCGTCTGATACTAAAATGGTCTTATAAAGACAAGTGGACTTGGGCCCTATTCAGGCAAGATTAAAAAAGAAATGTGAGCAAAATGGCTTAAGAGAAAGTATTTTCAAGGAAGACAGATGAAAACAACTCTGTTACACATGAGACGATGTTTGGACTTCCTTTTATTTACACGTAAGCCTAGAATTTCTCTTTTGGTATATCAACGGTTAAATCCAAGACTATTTTTTATTGCTGAAGATTCTTGCAAACCATGAAGAGATGTTCTTCCAGAACAGAACCCCACAGCTGGATAAGGCCCATATATATATTTGTAAGCCTTGCAGTGTGACAGGTAGCATCACTATATATGCAATAGTTGTTATGTAGACTGTCAAAGAATTTTTTTTTTCCTGGATACATTTGAGGCTTTGAGTGTTCAAGGTTTTCTTTAATGATTTCACACAGCCAAATTCTTGAATCAGTTGAACTAACCTGTATGTTACTGTTATTAATGTTTACTCTGCGGTCTGAACCTGGAGATTACTGGAATTGTTTTCCAAGAGGAAATAAATTCAGTTTACCATTAGGTATGAGTGTATTTGTGTGTTTTCTTTTTCTAGTTGCTCTACCATTAAAAAGACCTAATTGCCTGCACCCTTGGAAATGAAATCTGCTCTTGAGCATATCACAGGCATAACCTCAATCATATTTAACCTTTTCTCACTGGGCCCAGTGCATCTGGGAGGAGAGTTGTCATCCTGCCTGGGGAAGGAATCAGACCCAATATACTTCTGCTCTCTCAGATACTACCAGGTCACATTGTACTGGAGGATTCTGACATCACAGATGGATGTGATGGCTGTTTTCTGCATAATTTGCAGCCCAATTCATGTCATGCTGTGCAAATCTGAACTCAAAGTAGATGGCTGCAATTTGAGAGGCAGTTTGGCTTATGTGTACTTAAGAAGCAGCTTTGTTCATTCAGAAGACAAAGCACAGAGCAGGGAGCCGGGCTGCTGTTAGTTCTAGCTCTGGCACTGACTCCCAGTGTGGTCTTCTCCAAATCACTCCACCTCCTGGCCTTGGTCCCCCCAGCCAGGGGAGGTCACGCAGCTTGGTCATCGGACTTCACACAGGCGTGGGTGTCTCTGGAAGATGGCTGGCATCACAGCCTGCCACAAAACGGTGAATGAATACGAGCTCTAATTTCAGAGCCTTTTTTTTTTTGTTTGAAAGAAGAGAATAGCAATGTGTAAACTGAGTCCTAATATACATGTTTAGTCAAAATTGGTAAGTATACACCTGATACAATGGACAACTTTCAACCACATCATGTTTAAAATATTTCACTCACTATGACTCTTTTGACCTCTTTGAAACACTGAGGACCTCAAGCAGATCTTTAAGCCCTAAACAAGTGCGAGTTCTTGCAGCACTTTTTTGCTGGGGAAACTCAAGTGTGTACTGATTCACTTTATTGTGACCACCTGTCACTAGGGGACCCCCCCCCCCCAATGAAACCCAGATTACCGGCACCACAAAGCGTAATCCTCACCCCACGGTTCTCAAACTTTAGCCTGCATCAGGATCACATGGAAGGCTTGTTCCGTCACAGGGTGGGACCCGATGCCCAGAATTGCTAATTCAGTTGGTCCAGGGTGGGGCTCAAAATTTTGCAGTTCTAAGAAGTTCCCGGGTGATGCTGATGCTTCTGGTGTGGGGGGCCGCACTTTGAGAACCACCGCTCTACCCTATTTGCAAGTTAGTTGAATGCATTAAATGTACATAACCATGCAGAGTGCTGGCAAATTATACTGCTTCTTTTGCTACCAATAAAAAAAAAAAGCTTGGTCAAATTTTAAGATCATTCCAAAACAAGTACCTCATAGTGCTTAAAGTACGTGTGCTTGCCAGAATGTTTCGTGTGTGTGTGTGTGTTTAGTTTTTTAATGCTAGGAAAACCTACATGTATACATTTCACAATGGATTGCCAGCATGCTATTTAATTAAAAAGCTTTTTCACCGGCTACATAAATAATGAAGTATGCTAAGAATATGCAACTACATTCATAATTAAAATACTCAACTTATTTAAAAAAAATTAAGATCTCTGGTCTATTCAAGGTTTTTGCATTTAAAATGAAATAGCCACACTTAATAATGATTTTTTTAAAAGCTTTAAAACTTAAGTTATTAATGAGTGGTTATATTTTACTAAAAGTAAGCTGTTCTTCCCTCACAGAGAGCAGGAGACGGTGTTAGTCCACGGATGGATCCCAGGTTGCCCTTAACAGCATCGCCTCCCAGACTCCTAGGAAACAGCAGGAGGTGAAATTCTTAGGCAGCAACAGAAGCTCCTGCTTATCATTCTCCTAGAGGCCACCACACTGCTGGCCATTGGACTCCAACACACGCACAGCTCGGCCTCTTCCCAGACAAAGCTGGAGGCTAAAGGGGTTGACCCTTATTTGCCACACATGCCTGGCTGATCCTCCAATGACAATTCAAATTTAGTAGGTCCTTCCTTATGACCAACTGTTCTTTGGGTCATAAATACTGAGCAGTGCATGGAACAGTCATTCCCTCTTTGCTTGTTACCTTTTTTATATTTATTTCCTACCTTATTCCCTAAGAATATAAGGCAACTTAAAGATTAACAAAATGTTAATAGGAAAATTAGCATCATCCAGAGGGGAGAAAATACACTAAAGTAGTTGTCTTATTTGTGCTTTAATTTTGGTTTTGAATGCATTTTAGCATTGACTTTGGGCTTCCTGGTAGTAAAAGAAAAATAACAACAAAAATGAACCACTTTCTTAAGAGAAAAATTTTTTTCTTAGCTTTTAATTCCAAAAGAAATTTCTCAATGACCTTGTATACAGGCAAGTGGCCAATAAAATGACCACAATTTCATCATCTAATGCAGTGGTTCTCATCTGGGGGAATTGCTACTGCATCTATGGGTAGAGGCCAGAGATGCTTCTAAACATCCTTCAGTCCACAGGACTGGTCCCCAGAACAAAGAATTATCAGGTCCCAAATGAAAATAGCACCAAGGTTGAGAAACTGCTCTAGTGTAAAGTTTTCTGATTTTTTTCAAGGACCTTTTTACATTGGAATCACCTGGGGAACTTTAAAAAACTATTGCCTGAATCCCACTTCCCGAGAGTCTGATTTAATTGGTCTGGAGTGCAAGCTGGACATCAAAAGTGCCCCAGGTGATTCTGGTGTAGCCACGTTTGAGAACCACTGGGCCGAGCTCACATTCTCAGGCGAGTGCCCTGGACTTAAGGCTAGAAACGTGAAAATAACATCCAAGCAGCAGAGAAGTGGTATGGGCCTCAGACTCTTCCCTCAACGTTACTTTTTGCAACTGGGCATTTAATGATTATTTTAACTCTGAAGTAATATAATAACCAATAGCAAGTTTTGGAAGATGAGGAAGGAGGGAAAATGACCCAGAACCCCACCACCCTTGCACCTGGCCCAGGATTACAAACTCAATGAGTGAGAAATCTGGCCCAGTAGGGACTCTGGCAACCTGGACAACAAATGCCCCATCACCTGCCCCCAACTGTTGCCTGGAGGGAAAGCAGCCTGCCGCGGCCAGATTGCCCAGTGTCTCAGGAGAAGCCAGCAATCCGGGTGGTTACGTGCCATGTGCCAATTTCTAAATGTTGGCAACCTACTCCATTTTTTATTCAAACTCGGCTGACCCCTACCGTGTGGGCCATATGAGACACACTTTCAGGCCAGGTCTGACGCTTGGATTGCTGGTTTTGACCTTTGGCATCAATTATTTCTCATTCCAGCCTATTTCAAATATTTGTTTAAAAATAATTATATGATTTTTGTACATAAAAGTTTGAGTTGCTCTTTGTTTTAAATTAGGATCCTATGCAGTTTTGAAGTTGCTCTGTGGCCTTCATATTTCTGTTGCTTCAGGTTGAGCAGTGATCCACCAGATGAGTATGTTCTATCTGAGCCCACCCCTGTTCCTGGACATTTAGATTTCAGATGGATTTTTTTTTTTTAATGATGAAGGATAATGAATAGTAGAAACGCAATATTTCCTGTTGCAAGTGAGATATACTATATTCTATGTTGCTAATGGAGGCCAGATTAATATCCTTTGGAAATTGTGCACATAAGTGATGGGGTTGACATTCTCCTTTGAAAGCTGATCAGCATAACCAGTGTTCCAGCCCAAACAGAAGGCTGCGGCACCAGAGACGGCCTCTAGGAGTCCCCCGCAGGCTGGGTTAGGCTCCTTGGAGCAGCGCTGGGTCTGTTCCAGAACTTGGACAAGGACTCTGATGAACCCTCAAGTTCCACTCCATAGAGCATGGCAGCCCTGTCTTTGTGCCTGTTGGGGTGCAACATTGCAGAACCCTTGAGAAAGGAAGTTTGAAAATCCAGATCCCATTGGAAAACACCTGCAAACGCTTCTCCACTTAGTGTCAGCAGGCCAGAGCCTCTTCCCATCTCTCTTGTGTGGAGGCAGCTCTACCAAAGGTAAAAAACTCCTAAAGTTCAAGGAAGAGGAATGATTTTGGGTAAAATGACCCAGCATGGGGTTCTGGCAGAATCCCAAAGCTCAGGTCTGGTTGGCACTGCATTCCTGGGTGAGTGCCTCCGGAGGCTGAGGAGTAGCCACGGCCATCTCCGCCAAATTCCTCTGTAATGAAGTCAGCTGTCAACTCCTTGGGGGGGAAAAGCACAGAGCCCCTTTATTTCCAAGCAGGTGTTGCAGCATATTAAAGGTTGAATTCCATCTTGTGCTCACATCCTGAATGAGCCAGTTTGCAGGCAGGCTCAGTTCTTTCTGCAAAGAGGGAAACTTGGCAATGGTGAAGGCTGAGTACTTAAATGGCAATCAACTTCTGGCTCATATCAATTAATTCCTTCATGGACTTCTGCCTAAGTATAGCATCTTGAATTCCCAGCTGCG